ATGAGGAAAGTAGTGCATGTTGATTATAGGTAGCTAATTTGGTAAAGGGGAAGGAGCGACACCAACAAGTAGACTATCGTAACAGTACTACTTGTGTTGAAATAGCTCTCCTCTCCATGAAACAGAATCAGGTTGGAGTTGAACATCCAGTACCAGAACCATTTTTAAAGTTTCCAGGTATACTCTCCTTTCATTAGAGTGCTTGTCTTTTGATCGGGAGCAGGCGATATCAATCATTGAGGTTTTTTAAGGTAGATACGGTGTGGTGGAACAGTTCGTCTGTCAAAATCCAGTTTCTTGGCGCTTCCCAGGCCAGGTAAATTTTGCTCCGTCTACAACATCCAATAAATCCTTACGAATTTGTGTTCACTTTTCGCAAATTGACCGGTTATTAGTGACTGGCACAATTAAAAGGTTCTTCGATACGAATCAGAACGTTAGAAAGGGTAGCCTTCTCACCAAAGGGGTAAGTTCAATGAGCGAACAATAAAATGAAACGGTCACCGGTTCCCGAATCAATCTGAAAGGACCCCGTTCACAGCTCCTATTTGGGAAAGGCCATTCAATTCCTGCATACCGGTAGGTAGGTTCTTTGTACGACAAGAAACGAGAGACATCGTCCCAAATGCGCTAAAACAATCTGAAATCACTTTCGAACTTTTTCACTTCTGCTCATAAATTATTTTTTACCCTAAAGTGAACTGAACTGAACTTAACTTGAAAGCAAATGACTATGACAATGCAACACCAAGTAATTCAAGATAACAACTTTGCAGTCGCCATGATTGAAGAAGGCGCTTATGACGAGGCATCTTCCACACTTTGTGCGGCATTCCAAGCGTACCAGAACTGTGGCGACATGGAGAGTACAGCATGTAATGATGGAGTCTCGTACAAGTCTTCCATTAGCCTCGATGAATGCATGACGAAGGGACATCCAATGAGCTCTTCCATCGACCCGGACTTTCCATTCATGTATTCTGACGCCATTCGCATCTCGGCTGCGGCTGGAATATCAAAACACGATGTTACCTCCATCATTCTGTTTAACCTGGCACTGACCTATCACCTCTCCGCTTTGGATTCGAACGACCCTGATTCTGACCTTCAAA